AGTTTCCTCCCTTCAAGGGTCCAAAATCTGAAGACTGACTGTTGTAATTGCCAAATTCATTGTAGATTCCACCACCTCTATCTATTTCATCCATCATTACCAAATCCATTGTAGCCATCTCCATATCTACCTCCACCACGGCTTCCACCAAAGCCATCTTGACCACTGAAGTTTCCTCCATCTTCAGCTTCAACAGGGCTTTCCTTACTTTATAGTTGTGGCCGTTCACAGGGTGGTATTTTTGAATGACAATCTTACCCTTAAGTCATGATTGTTAAAGGTTACAAAAGCAAAGCCCCTCTTTTTTCCACTGCCTCAGTTGGCCATAATTTCAGTCACTTCGATTTTTCCATATTATTCAAAATAATCTTGTAGGTGATGTTCTTTAGTATCTTCTTTAATGCCACCAACAAAGATCTTCACTGCTAAGTGGGCCCCTGGTCTTTGAGAATCTTCTCTTGAGATGGTTTACTTTGGTTCCACAACTCTTCTGTCCACCTTGTGAGGCCTTGCATTCATGGCTGCATCCAGCTCCACAGTGGCATAAGTGGCAAACCCAAAGCCACTGGAACGCTTGGTGTTTGGGTCTCTCATTACCACACAGTCTGTGAGTATTCCCTATTGCTCAGAATGGCTCTTCAGACTCTCATCAGTGTTTCGAAGCTCAGCCCTCCAGTGAAGAGCTTCTGTAGCTGTTCAGGTTTCTTGGGAGACTCTGACTTATACATGATGGCAGTCGGAAGAGAGACTGACGGTGCTTCCTCTGCGGTGTCCACCACCAGAAAGTGAGAATCTTTTTTGTCTCCTAGCATTAGTTATTAATAGTTTTTATTTAGGTAATTCACTGGATAAAAAATATTTGTTTTATTTTTTAAAATTTTGTACAAGGTCTCGCTGTGTAGCTCAGACCCGTAATGATCCTTCTATCTCAGCCTCCCCAGCGCTGGGATTACATCGTGCCCAGGTTTCAATGGCTGGCTTGGCACAGAGCCAGCATGGCCTGCATTCGCTGATATTGAACCCAGGTCCTTGTGCTTGCCAGACAGGTGTTTAGACTGCCAAGCTATCTTCCCAGCCCATTATTTCATTGTTTTAATTTGATTGTCTTTTTTTTTTTTTTTTTTTTTTGCGGAACCGGGGATTGAACTCAGGTCCTTGCGCTTGCCAGGGAAGTGCTTATTCCACTGAGCCATCTCCCCGGCCCCCCCGTCTTTGGTTTTTGATGAAGTTGATCATTAATCATTTCATATACTAGAAATCTTGTATTTTTTAGTTTTGTTTCTTTGAGTTTTCTTTGAGACAGGGTTGGGCTATGTAGTTCAGGCTTGCCTTGAATTCACTATGTACTAAAGCTGGCCTTGAATTTGTGATCCTTCTGCCTCATCCTCCTGAGTGCTTTTTTTTTGGGGGGGGGTGCTGTTAATCATTGGAATACTTTTTCATTGTTAATTTTTCTCCCAGTTGATTTAGTATATGATATTTTATAAACTTTGTAAATTAACATGCTGTAGACCTCTCCTTATTCATGGTTTTGCTTTGAGTTTTCTGCTATTCTCAGTCAACTGAGGTCTAAAAATATTAAGTAGAATACTGCAGTTATAAACTACCCATCATTCATTCATCTACAGTGCTAAAGATTGAACCTAGAGCCTGCACAGTGAATTGCATCCCCATTTCTTTTTAATTTTTTTTTTTAATTTTTAAAATTTTGAGACAAGATCTCTATCAGTCACTAAATTATTCAGACTGGGCTCAATATTGTGATCCTCTTGCCTCTGTCTTCCAGAGTGCTGGGATTACAGGTATGGGCCATCACATCTGGCTATCCATAAATATTTTAAATAGCTTGTTCAAAATAGTGTTTTGAAATCCTGCACCTACCTGCTCTAAGCTGTGTTAGAGGTGATTCCTCTTTTTGACCAACGTATCACTATACACACACTCTTTCCTTACTTAGTAAATGTCTAAGTTATTAGAACTATAGGGCTAATGGTATCTCCAATTTAAGCTGGTCATGGAAACACATGTTTATTATCTTAGCTATTAGGGAGGCCAAGGCCAGAGGAGTGCAACTTGGGGGCCAGCCTGAGTAACTTAGTGAGATCCTACCTGTTGTAGTCAGGGTTTACTTGGGGATAGACTTAGCATAGGACATACTTTATAGGATTATTTTATAACATTCACCCAAAGAGTCAAATACAAGAGAGTACGGGAGATCTGTCCACACAATAGAGACAAAGAATCCAGCTGAAGGCCTGGACCCAATGGCAATGTCCTACACGAGTCCTGCTGAAGTGCTAGAGACCATGGCAATATCCTCTGTGAGTCCAAATGGAGCCTGGAGCCCATGACAGTGTCTCATGTAAGTCTGTATCAAGGATCTGTACTGAAAGGTCCAAAGGTCAGTGTTGGAAGCTAGAAAGTTTGTGTTAGTGGGATGAAGGATCTGTGCAAGCAGGCTGAGGGATCTGCACTGGAGCCTGGCAGAAACCCTCAAGGTAAGGACCAGTGTTCCCCCGCAAAGAATTGCAGCTATCCTCAGTGAGGAGGACCCAAGCTTCTCTGATGATGAGAATAGCTGCGTTCATACCAGAAAAAACAGTATGACAAGCTTCAAGAGAATCATAGCATACCATCTTCCCCTCCAGTTCTTTTTTTATGCTTTTGGCAACAATCAACAGGTGGGCCATTGATACTCAGCACCACGTGGATTCAGTTCAGCTGAATATTACAAGTTGCCTATTAATCTATTACACCATCTTAAAAAATTAAAAAAGAACTAGGGATATAGCTCAGTACCCTGAGTTCATGCCCTTTATTGGTTTATTCTCATTTCTAGAATTTATGATTTGTAAATGATGTCTTTTTCTGCTTACTGTATCTTGTAAATTTTATTCTTAAAACAAAAACAAAATAAACTATAAAATCTTAACTAACATTTGAGTTGTGAACTTTCAAGATACAAACAGATCTTGCATTAGGAACATTCCTAGATGCATAAAAATGGCAGCAGTAACCCACGTGTCTGCTGGACATTGGGCCTGTGCTTACTATGCAGTGTGATAATATACAGTAGTACAGTGCTCAGACAGACCCCAGGATGTCTGGAAGCAAGAGGAAAAGCAGAGATGATGTGGAAGCAACTGCTAGGAAGTTCAAAGCAATAAGCAAGGAAGCAAAAGTGAAAATAGTTGAGGGATTAGACTGAGGTGAAAAGATGGTTAGACGTCATTCATTTTTCTGACATTGATTGTTCAACCACTGGCACCATTCTAAAGAACAAGGACATGATCACGGAACATGTGAAGTTTTTTTTTATGCTTTACATATTTATGTCAAGGTGTGTATGATTCACTTTGCTGGACTTAAAGAACATTCTTCTGGAATGGAACTCATAAGACATTGTAAAACCACAAATTTTTCTATCATTTAAATGAGATTTTTTTTTAATATGGAAAGAAGATAAATTCAGTCTGCTTGAGCCAGAGACTTCCTTCCTTGTCTTTCTTTTCATATTATTTGTATTTTCTGCTTGATTTTTTTCATCTTCAAGTTTTAAGTATACCTTCTTTGATACCTTCATTCTTTGTAAAGCAGTGTGTTTCTCTCTTTCATTCTGTGTTGTAGTGGTTTCATTGTCATTACTAGACAGTAAGTGCCTGACGGTGAGGACTGTGTTTCTTTCTTTTTTTCTTTTTTAAATCTAGAGTGTAATAGTATGTGATACATATGAGGTAGAAAATAGATGCTTTTTGAATTAATATACTGAAGAATTAGTATAAATGGGAGCAGTCTGTAATAGGTACCTAGAGGCCAAACTACTATAGTAGTTTTTAACTGCAGACTACCAGCCTGGGGCATTTAGTTTTTTTGGAGAGGTAACTATTTCTTTAGTCTGTAAAAGTAGCACTTCAAGACGGGTATACATGGTACAAAAGCAAATCAACAAAGTTTAAATTTACATGATTTTTTTGTTCTAACACAAGCTAGCTAGCCTGACTGCTTTGTGTATTGAGGGATGTTTCTCTTGGGTTATGTTGACCAGAATAGTGGAATATCTTAAAAATAATAGAAGAGGCTGAGTGGTAGGGTGATTGAGTGATCAACTTCTAAAACATTATTTGAATATGTAAATATTTTTATATAGTTCAGAATTCAAAATGAAGTATTTCTGTTTCCCTCTGGCTGTTCAGAGACTAGTTTTTGAAGTCCCCCCATAATTGATTTGATTAGTTTATAAATGCAATAGTCTTTCTTTATCTGTAGAGAATTTGAAAAAAAAAATCATAGAGGATTTGTCTTAAAACCCTTAAGGATGCTTGAAACCACAGAGTCTACACCCTATGCATTTGATACATACATGTATACACAAATTGAATGCCTTCTTCCTCTTAACACTGCATTGTGGCCATAACTTTTGCAGTGATAGCAGAAGCAGCACAAGTTTCCTTGTACTTTATAGTAGATCTTAGCAATGGAACATACAATTTTTTCTTATTGAGTTGAGAACTTTCACCTTTCATTTAATGGAAGCACTTTATAACTTCTCTTTGGGTTATCTAAATTATTAGCATCTTCACTGTTAAGCTTTGGTGGCCTTGTAAGTTAATTAGAAGTTACTTAAACACAAGCATAGCCACAAACCACAACAGTCTGTCTGATGACCAAGATAGTTACCAAGAGACTAATGGGCAGTCAGCATCTACAGTATAGATACACTGGGCAGTAGGAAGATTTCACATCATTGACTAGATAGAGTAGGATGCAATGAGATCTCATAATATACAATGTGCAAGTTGCAGTATATGAATTAGAATTTTTAGACCGTGGTTGACCATGGGTAACTGAAACTGAATAAGAGGGTAGATGAGTACTATTGTAGTGTTGTTTTTTTTCTCTGTGTGTATACTTGGATTGATTTTTTTTTCTTAAAATTACTAACTTCATTACTTGTGTTGGTATAATAAAATGAATTAAAATATCTTGTTAATTTTTTTCAGATACATCAAATTACAGAATGGGTTGCAGGCACTTTTGATTTCAGATCTAAGTAACATGGAAGGTAAAATAGGAAACACAATAGATGATGAGGAAGAGGAAGAGGAAGATGAGGAAGAAGAAGAAGAAGATGATGAAGATGATGATGATGATGATGATGATGAGGATTCTGGAGCTGAGATAGAAGATGATGAAGAAGAGGGATTTGATGATGAAGAATTTGATGATAATGAACATGATGATGATGATGATCTTGACACTGAGGATAATGAACTGGAAGAACTGGAAGAGAGGGCAGAAGCTAGGAAAAAAACCACTGAAAAACAGGTGTGATTTTTGTCTATTTTATCTTCTAAAATTTAGGTTCTTTGAGATAACTACTATGCTCATGGTTTATTTTTTACTGATCAAAAATATCTTATTTTCAGTAAAGGTGTGTTCTGTATAGGAATTGTATTTTGAAAACATTTTATTCTGGTTACAAAATAAATACTCATCATAAAACCCATGGAATATAAAGAAAACCAAAACAAAAATTTTCTATAACCTTTCAGATGTAATCAGTAGCAATATTTAAATTTTTATGTATTTATATACACAGTATGTTTTGGAAACAAATGCCAGGAGGTAAGGATCTTCATAAATTTTAGCCTAGGGTGAGAAATAAGAAAATGCATTATTTTTAGAGAGGCTGGAGAAAAGAATGATGTTCATATATAATCTTCACTTAAGCCCAGAGTTCTAATTTCTGTTTAGGTGATTGAATTTGATTTATCTCTGTTTATTGGAAAGCACTGAAGACTAAGCCAAATATACATTGCAGAATACTTGGAGAATTGAACTTAGATTGATATTATAACAATTAGAAAATAGATACGTAGTCCTTAATAGAATTTTCCTCATGAAGAGTGTCTCCATTTTTATAGTAGGGAGTTCTCATATTAGAAGATAATATTTTGAAGGCATTACAGTGATATTGACCAGCAAATATTTATTGAAGTTAGTTTCTTGAATATGATAGTGCATTCAACATGGTCCAGTCTATTGATGCAAGGTATTAAGTATTTAGGTGTTATATGAATACATAAAAGTGGTCTGTCCTCAAAGATGTCAAATGTAAATCATAAGTAATTAAGAAGTTTTGTTTTGTCTTATTGTGATGAGAGTCTGTATTCCCAGGCAAGTCTCAAACTCCTGGGGTCAAATGAGCTTTCCATCTCAGCTTCCTGAGTAACTGGGGCTGCAGGCATGTGACCGTTCACCTGGCAGGTGTCAGCACTTTTAAAAGAATCTTTTGATAGTCATTTTTGTGAACTTTTAAAAAAACTCTATTAGGTTTTTTTTTTGTTTTTTTTTAAATTAAGTTGTTGGGGAGACTGAATTGGATATCTGAGAAGGTTTATATATCTCATTAGTAGAATGTTTATCTAGGATGTGTGAAAGACTGTCTTCAATTCCCAGCATCATCAAAAAGAGGGGAAAAAAAGCTTTTTGCCCCTTCTTACTTAAATGTTGAGTAATGCCTATTTCTCTGTAGTATGAGGACAAGGGGGGTTACACTGGAATGCTTTACAGATGAAACTCAAACACTGAAAAAAAAAATCACTTGATAGTGTATACTAATGTGTTTATAAACAGGGATTAATAAATTCACCTTTAATGAAAAATATTTAATTTCAAATAGAACACTAATAGGAAAAATTATAAAAGTCACAGAATATAGAGTAAGAATCTCAGTTTAAAATGATTTCTTAGGCTGGGTGTGGTGACGTACATCTTTAATCCCAATACTTGGCAGGCTGAGGCAGGACAATTTCTGTGAGTTTGAGGCCAGCCTGGGCTACATAGTGAACTCAAGGGGGCCGGGGAGATGGCTCAGTGGAATAAGCGCTTCCCTGGCAAGCGCAAGGGCCTGAGTTCAATCCCCGGTTCCGCCAAAAAAAAAAAAGGAATACATAGTGATCTCAAGGCCAGCCTGGACTCTACAGTGAGACCCTATCTCAAAAACCAAAACACAGCACAACAAAAATTGCTAGTTTTCTCTGTAACTGGATAATCTTAGGCCTTTTTATTTTTCTCTGTTTTCATTTTTCAAGGTCAAATGGTCACAACTTTTTTTTTTTTTTTAATTTTATGTATTTGGTACAGGATCTCACTATGCAGCTCAGACTTATAGTGATCCTTTTGTTTTTATCCTCCCCAGATCTGGGATAGCAGATGTGCACCACAATGCCTAGTCTCAGTGGCCTGCTTGGCATGCCTGGGGTGGGGCCGGCATAGCATGAAGTACCTGGGATCAAACCTGGGTCCTTGTGCTTGCCAGGCAGGCACTTAGACTGCTGAGCTATCTCTCCAGCCCTGTCACATAATTTTTGAAGTTATTTTAGCTCCAAGATTGACTGTGCTAAAACTTCACTGAATATTTGTTATCTGTCTGTCTGTCTGTCTGTCTGTCTGTCTGTCTGTCTGTCTGTTGAGACAAAGTCTTTAGTCTTTCTGTATTTTCTGTGAGAAATTTTTTTCTGTCTCTAAGTAGCTTTCCCCTGTGTTTTGGCCATCTTTATGTCTTTTATTAACTGATAAGATAATTGTGATTTGGAGAGGTGAAATCATTTTGATTCAGAATCAATGAGTACCCTAGTGAAAGGAAAGAAACATATCATTCCATAAACTGGAAAAATAGTTTATGTTCATTGGATGAATATATGTCTGGAAAAGGAAACAAAATAGATTAGTCTAGGTAAGAGATACCTTAAGAGTGATAAAATTATAAAAGTTTTATGTTTTAATAATTATTTGATAAATGTAAATCTAATAAAGTAGCAAAATAACTGATAGGGTTGGGTTTTTTTGTTATCTCTTACCTAATTTACTGAAATATCTTTTTAAAGTTTTTCCTTTGTAAAAGTTTTTCTTGATCTAAAAGTTTGATAAATTAATAAGATTGAAATTTAAGCATGATATACAGAATTATTTGTTGAGGGCTTTCTTAATTCAATTCTCATATATGAATTCTCAAGTATTAATTTTTTGGGTAGAAAATTCTCAAGTATAAATTTCTTTTCTAGCAATTGCAGAATCCGTTTTTGCTGTGGTCAAAGCTGACTGATAGACTGTGGTTTAAGTCATCTTATTCAAAAATGTCTTCAGCCCTGATGGTCCAGACAAGAAATCTTTATGGGGTAGTTGCAGCTGAAAGCAGGTTAGGCACCTATTAAATATCACAGAACAGGTTAGACTATGGTTTGAAGAAGTGGATATTCCTCCATGTTTTAACTGAGTTCATGTATACCTAAGTCTTCAACATGAGATACATAGAATCAGATGAGGCTGTTTGGTTCTTCTAAAGACATATTGTCATTTCTGACTCTTTATTTTTTTATTTTTATTTTTTGTATTTTGGGGAAGGGTTTACAGGGTGTTCAGGGTCTCACTACTAGATCGGACTCGTAGTGATCTGCCTGTTTAACAGCCTCCCAAGAGCTGCGATTAGGGGGGCGTGCCAGTCTCACTTGCCGTCTCAGAGTGCCCCAGGGGCGGGGCCGGTGCTGTAGGCCAGGGGATTGAATCCTGGTCCCTGTAACTGCTTACAGGCACTTTAATCCGCTGAGCAATTTGGCTGGCCTACAACCCTTTATTTTGTTAAAAATCAGTTTTCCCAAGGCATTGGGAGAAGGTAGTTTTGTTTTTTGTTTTTGTTTTTGTTTTTGTTTTTTGCTGGCTCAGCCCTCTCTTGGCATTTGGTGCTGGGGATCTAAAACCGCAGTTCCCTGCACCTGCCTAAACTTGCCTTACCAGGCGCTTTAGACTGCTGAGCTATCTCGCTGGCCCCAAGGTAGCTTGATAGTAATGAACATTATGCATGTTCAGTAAAAAGTGAAGAACTACAGAGCCTTTTTGAAGTCTAGTTCTACAGCTTTTTAATAGCTACATATTTTAGCTTTACTTTGTTAGATTTTTTTCTAACAAAACTTTCTGAGTAACACAGATTTCACCTCTAGTTACTGAACACAGAGGTTTTAATTGTATAGAGAGCTTATATCTACTTAAATATGTTAATTTTGTGATTTTGAAAATCTGTTAATTCAAGGAGCAAACTTGGTTCAGCATTCTGAAATTCTGACATGGTAATTGGGTGGGCTGGCCAGAGTCCCCTCCCCCGTTTTCTTCTTTTTTTCTTTTTCTGTCTGTTTGTGCTTTTCTCCTTAGGTCTGCACCTGTTCAGCATTTGGCAGGATGGCAAGTGGAGGAGCAGCAGGGTGAAACTGATACAGTTCTGGTGAGTTTCACTTTGCTGCTCCTCCTGATTTTCAGGGAAGAATTTTGTTAGTTTCCTATTGGAAAACTTCATCTCCAGTTGAGTCCTTAAGAGGAGATAGTAATATATTCCTTTAAGATTCACTCTCCTGGGCTGGTGAGATGGCTCAGTGGTCTAAAGCACCTACTTAGAACAAGCTAAAGCTGAGCAAAGCACAGGGACCGCGGTTCAATCCCCCAGCACCACATGCCAGCCAGCCCCGCCCCCTGGTGGGCTGAGCTGGCCACACACACACACACACACACACACACACAATAAATTAAAAAAAAAAAAAAAAGATTCACTCTCCTATTTGTGTGTGTTTTACTTCCTCCAGTCTGCAGCGGCTCTTTGTGTTGGAGTTGGGAGTTTTGCTGATCCAGATGACCTGCCTGGACTGGCGCACTTTTTGGAGCACAGTAAGATCTTGTAAAATATTCCCAAGTGCTTTTTTCCTCCAAATATATATGAAACACATATCAAAAATATATGTTTGATAGAAATATAATGCCCAGTAAAACCTTTGCAAGTATAACTCCTGCTAGAAACATAGTTGCAATATAAAGTACTTGTAACATCTAAGCAAATTTCCCCTTAAATAATGGAAACTAAGATGATTCACTCCACAACCCAAAAAACATTCATATAAAAATGATTACAGTACTGTAATATAATAATATGAATAATAAGGAAAATACAAAGTATAAAGAAAAACATTAACTTGCCCTTTTGAAAACCTTCTTGGCTGGTGAGACGGAGATGAGAGGAGGGTTATTATGTAGGATGACTTTCAGTATCACCAGTGAAATCACTGCTGTCTGTTGGCTCAGTGCAATCTTGTTTCATGCAACTTTCATAAGGAACTACCCAACGACATGTACTTTTGCCTCCTTTTGAGGATTTCATAGAAATGTAACATTGCATTATTGTCAAATAATAACAGATTCATTGTCAGATAATAACAGATTCATTGCTCTGCTACAGCCTTAATCAGATGGTGTATTTCTATAAAATTTTGCGTCATTTGCCACCTTTTACACATCTTTCTAATCTCATTTGAAGTGAGGGATTCTTAGCCTCTGCAGACAAGATGTCCAGAATCTCTTGCTATCAGGAGATGATCTCCCACAATCCTGCAGGGAAAGGGGAGGAGGGAGGGAGGAACCATTGGCTCAGTTCCCATCATGTGATGTTTGGCATCATGTACTAATATTGTATGCTTGTTCATTGAATTATAGTTTATTAGAAACGTGTGTTCATCTTGTGGAACACTCGCAGAACAAGTTACTTGTCTTCCAGGGTTTTACTGTATATTTAACAAGAGAAAAAGTGAAGGAGACTTATGATTTATAAGACCATAGGGGAGAATTTTTATCTCCTGAAGTGTACCTATATTGAGAATTAGAATAAAACTTGTTTTAAAATATAGGCATTTTTATTCAAGTATGGTAAAGCCAACAGACTAGATGATGACTACAATTGTGTAGAAATCAATTGCCTAAACCTAATTGGGGCATTTGTTTTACAGTTAGCAAGGCTTAGAAACACAGAACATTAGAACATTAGAAACACAGAAAAATAAAAAGGCATAATCAACACAAAAACAAATCAAATGTAGCTAAATAAAAACTATGTGGATGCTATACAGTTGCAAATATATAGCTCCTTTTTCTGACTCATTTAAAAAATATTTTTCTAAGCTATTTAAAGGTAAACTTCCCACCCTATGAATTTTCATGATAGCAATTAATTGTATATATGCTTATGTTTAAATTTTAACATTTGTACATGTTATATATTACTTTGTCTTCCATATAAGTGCTTAGGTTTTTTTTGTTTGTTTGTTTTATTTTTCAGTATAAAGCTACATTATGAGGGCTGGCTAGATAGATCAGCAGACAAAAGCGCCTGCTTAGACAGGTACAGGGACTGGGGTTCGATTCCCAGCATGCCGTGCTGGCCCTGTCCTTGGGGCACACTGAGACAGTGATTGAGAATGGGCATGGTGGCATGTGCCTGTAAACCCAGCGCTTGGGAGGCTGAAAACAGGATGATCACTACAAGTCCAATCTGTGTAGTGAGACCCTGTAGACCCTGTGCTAAATTCATTAAAAAGAAAGAAAGAAAGAAAGAAAGAAAGAAAGAAAGAAAAGAAAACTATGAGCATGATAGAACATTGTAAAAGTAGCAGTCTAATAAAGAATTAACCAGGCAGAGCTATTGTTAATTTGTTGGTACACTTTCTCCCAGATTTTCTGTACACAGCAAGAAAGTTCAAGTGGGGTATGATGGTGAATACTAATAATTCTAGTACTCTGGGAGACATAAGGCAGGAGAATCAGAACTTTTATGTGTGTGACTTTTTGTTCTTGTCATTTAGTGGTATTCATGGGTAGCTTAAAATATCCAGATGAGAATGGATTTGATGCCTTCCTAAAGAAACATGGAGGCAGTGACAACGCCTCAACTGATTGTGAGCGGACAGTCTTTCAGTTTGATGTCCAGAGAAAATACTTCAAGGAAGCTTTGGATAGGTAACATTTCAAAGTATATTTTTATTTTAATTATCTAATAACATCTTACAAATTGAAACATTGGATGTACTCTATGGTATTTCATTTCAAGGAGTATTCTAATCCTATAGAATTGTCAATACTTTCTTCTTTAGAAAAACAAACTATTAAGTATGTGTTGATTCTTGCTCTGTAACAATTTGGTTTTTACTTATTAAACATCCTTTGAGTTTCGTGAGTATTCTATATTGATTTGTTGCAGTGTTTTCTAATTTAGTAGAAAACGTGGAAAAACAAATGTTGTTTATAATTTTACAGTCTAGAAATGGCCAGTTAGCATTTCAGTTACCTAGTTACATGCTGTCTAATATGTATTTTTATATGAATCATATGATTCATATCCTTTTTAACCTATATTTTTGTAACATAATTGTATAATTTTTCATTTTATAAGGCATTTTACATGATTGTATATTAGTTACATTGTATAGAAATAATGTACCTTAATCTGTTCAACCAGTTAACCTGTTCTTGGATAGTTGTCAACAGTTTTCTGCTACTGTAATGCTGTGGTAAATATCTTTAACTCTTACATATATCCTTAGATATTTCTTTTGTTAAGTTCCAGTAATTAAAATTACTAGGTATATTTTAAGACCTTTTTTTAAAAAAATCTTTTGAGTAAGTTTGTCATAGGGGCTGGGGCGATGGCTCAGTGGAATAAGCGCTTCCCTGGCAAGCGTAAGGGCCTGAGTTCAATCCCCAGTTCTGCTCCCCTCCCAAAAAAAAAGTTTGCAAAATCCATATTGGAAGAAATGGAATCACTTTATACCAAACTCTAGATATAAATGTAAAATTGAAAGCAATCAATCAATCAATCAATCAATCAGTCAATCTTGAGTTTGGCCAGTATAATCTTTGAGGAGTGATATTTTTTGTTTATTTTTTTTTAATATATTGTAGTTCAAGAATTTGAAGCACAGATATTTGATCAATGCAGTGCCATAAAATCAAAAGATAAATATTGCCATAAATTTCTATATTTTCCTGAAGCCCTGAATTAATAATTGTTAGGCTAAAAGAATGCCAAAATTTTATTAAAATGGACACAATTTTTACTTTTTTACAAGCTTGAATGCCAAAATAACAGAAGAATAGAGAGCTGGCTAAAGAAGACAATGTAAATGCCAGGATTTTGTTTGTAAATTTTTTTTTTTTTTTTTTTTTTCAGTGTGGCTGGCTCAGAGCAGGGCTGGTGCAGCATGTGAGGCAAGCACTGTACTTTTTTTCCAGAACCGGGGATTGAACTCTGGCCCTTGTGCTTGCCAGGCAAGCGCTTATTCTACTGAGCTATTTCCTCAGCCCCTTGTTTGTAAATTTAAGAGATCAAGAATACTTTGAGCAGAGACCTTAACCTACAACTGTGTGTTTGCTTTTGTTTCACAGTTCTTAGCTCCTAAGTTTCATAAAATCCAAATAGGTCTTTATATAAAGACATTTTAAGCAGAAGAAAAGCTGAATAAAATCTGGCTATCTCAGAGGTGGTAGAATTTGATATAAAATTAGCTAAGAAGCTTGGGTTACTCCAAAGTTTTGGTTTAAGAACTGCTTTAACAAAAATATCATCTGACACATTTTCTTCTGTTTAAAAAAAATTCAGAATTTATGAGACAAATGGTATCATACTTATATATAAAAAATTAACGAGAACATCAGATCCTATATTCATGCCATAAATAGTAGATGTTAGATAAGGCAAATGTAAATAAAATAGAAACGAATATGAGAAGAAATGAGCAGTTAACCAAACATAGCGGAAGATTTAGTACACCTTTCTCAGTAATTGATAACCATTAAAAAATACTCATCCTCTTCCCTTCCCCTTTCCCTTTCCCTTTCTTGTCTGCTTGCTCCCACTTGCTCTTGCTCACACTCGCTCTCTCTCTCGCTCTTTCTCTCTTCTCTCTGTTCCTGTTCTCTCTCTCTCTCCCCTATCCCTGTCTCTCCCTCCCTCCCTTTCTTTCTTCTGTTTCTCTCTTCCTCCTTTTTTCTTCTTCCCTCCCTTCATCTCTTACTCCTTCCCTTCCTCTCTCTCTTGCTCCCTGTTTTTCTTTCACAGACTCATTATGTAGTTCAGGCTGACCTTCAGCTCACTGTATAGCCTCAGCCTCCCTAGTACTAGTATTACAGGTGTGTGCTATCATATCCCACAGGAAAAATCCTCTTATGGATATAGAAGATTAAGACAATAATTAGACTCAAAAAAGCAGACTAAACCCAAAGTAAGCAGAAGAAAGGTCATAATCAAAAGCATAGTAAAATAAAAATAAATGAAAACAGAAAATAGAAATACAACAGAGAGGCTACATGTGGTGGTAGATGCTTGTAATCCCAGTATCAGGAGGCTAAGGCAGAAAGATTACCATGAGGTTGAGACCAGCCTAAACTACATAGTGAGACCTTGTCTTAAAACAAAACAAAGTAACAATGAATTACACAAAAAATTAACGAAGTAAAAATTGATTATTATTATTATTGTTTTTGCCTTTTTTTTTTTTTTTTTTTTTGGTGGAACCAGGGATTAAACTCAGGCCCTTGCACTTGCCAGGGAAGTGCTTATTCTACTGAGCTATCTCTCCAGTCCCCAAAATTGATTATTTTTAATAATCAACAAAATTGACAAACTTTCAATGTACATTGACCAAGGAAAAAGACTGAGTTGATGCAAATCAAGTATGAGAGTAGGGACATTAGTACCAATTTTATCAAAATAACAAGGGCTGTAAGGTTGTACCATGGACAGTTGTGTTCCAACAAATTAGATAACCCAAATGAAATGAATAAATTACTCGAGAGAGACAGTGTTGTCTTAAGACAAAAAACCTGAATGGACCTATAATGACAGATTATATTAATGAAAAACTTTCCAAAACATGTTTTAGCCCAGATAGCTTCTTAATGAATTCTCTCAAATGTTTAAAGAATTAACTCTAAAAAAAAAGAATTAACTTTAATATTTCACAAACTTATGAAAAATAGAATACTCCTTCTCATTCATTATATTAAGCCAGTATTATACTGATACCAAAACCAGTCGGTGTTATCAGAAGAAAAGGAAACCAAGGGCCAGTATCCCTTATAAATATAGATACAAAAGTCCTAATGGGGAGGCCACCCCAAAATCTAATCTAGCAGCATGTTAAAAAAAAAAAATTGTGCACTATGACCAATTTCGTTTTATCCCAGGAATGCAAAGTTTACCATGTGATAAATCAATGTTATGTTATTGTAATAGAATATATGACAAAAACTACAGCTCATTATTCTTGATAGATAGAAAAAGCATTTAACAAAATCTAGTACCTATTCATAACTGAACTGAATGTCTGTTGAACTTAGTAACACTTTTTAATTAAAAAAAAAATGTTGATTAGAGGCCAGGAAGATAGCTCAGTGGAATAAGTGCTTGCCTGGTAATCACAAGGGCTGAGTTTAATCCCTGGTACCACCAAAACATAAAAAAAATAAAAAAAGATGTTGATTGAAGAAACTGAACAAAAATAGAAATGCTTATTTTCTTTTGTTTTTCAGATGGGCTCAATTCTTTATTCATCCGCTAATGATCAGAGATGCAATTGACCGTGAAGTTGAGGCTGTTGATAGTGGTAAAAGAAATGATTTATGTCTCACTATCTTTTATTTCTCTCATTGAATTAACACATTTTAACACTAAGCAATTTAATCCTCTTTGTTTGTTTTCAGTCAGGGTCTCTCAGGCTGACCTCGAGCTCCCTGTTATAGCCTTGATTGGCCTCAAACTTGTGATTCTCCTGGCTCAGGGTCCCAAGTGCTGAGACTACAGGGTTGTGCCATAACACCTGGCTTTATCTTGTATTTTAAAAGACACTATTGAAATGGATGGGTCATATTTATTCCTGAAGTCAGTAAATGTTCTATTTGGGATAGATTTGAAATAAATCAAAAGGATGGTACATTTTAGGTTATTAATTTGTTAAGGATTTTACCATAGTAGCTAATCTTTTACAAGATAGTAATTCATAAAGCAAATGCTGTCTTAAAACTTTAAAAGCTCACATTATCTTTTTGCTTGAGGTATCATTTTAACTACACTGTTCTAATATATAGTTTGATTTTTATTATTTGTTACATATCTGTAGGTGCTTTGTGGCTTGAATTTGTTAGTTATAGAAACAGTTACATATTTATGGTTGAAGAAACGAAAACCCTGAGTAGGTAATATATTTAATATTATTTTGGACTATTTCTTTTAATTTTGAGAAGCCTCTCTATTACATTCATCCTTAATCGACCTTATGTTAAAATCTGTTAGTTTGCTTGTAACTTGCCTCCTTTATTATAATGCAAACTCCTTGAGGGTAGGATTTGATAACAGAATGCCATAGACTGGGTGACTGATAACAACCTAAATTTATTTATCTCGGTTCTGGAGGCTGAGAAGTCCAAGATCAAAGTGCCATTGTATTTGTTTCTAGTGAAGGTCTGCCTCCTGCTTTGTAAATGGCCAGCTTTGCCCTATGTTCTCGTATGATAGAATAGGGGAGGAAGCTCTCTGTGGGTTCTTTTATAATGTTATTCATAAAGGGCACCTCATGACCTAATCATTCCCAGAAGCATACCTTCAAAAACCTTTACACTGGGGATTAGGTTTGAACATATGAATTTGAGGGGAACATACATACTCAGTCTTTAGCACTAATTAAGATATTTCTGACTTCAAAGTGATGGTTCTTAAGAATCAGACTTCATGACCAACAGAGTTGGCTTTGTAGGAAATTTAAATGATATACAACATTTAGTTTCAAGATAGAAAGAATATGATTTAACATTTTATTAGCATTTTCTTCAATAAATTCTTGGACATAGAAACCTAGAGCTGAAACCTTTGAATCATTAATTATCTTTGTTTCATTTGAAAAATAAGGGAAAAACTCTAGGAAGTTGATTGATTTAATCAAAGTAACAAATTAAATGAGAACTAAGCCTATGTCCTTGACTTTCCAATTTCAGTCTTTTGATTTATAAAGTTAATTTTGTTATTTATTTCTGTGAGCTTGAATTTTCAGACAATAAAGCAGATGCTAGAGTTTTATTTTTATTAAAAGTGTTTTTTTTTTTTTAAATCGACAGAATATCAACTTGCAAGACCTTCTGATGCAAACAGAAAGGAAATGTTATTTGGAAGTCTTGCCAGACCTGGACATCCTATGGGGAAGTTCTTTTGGGGTAAGTAAATAATTCATCTTATTTCATCTGTCCTATAAGACTGAGAATAAAAAACTCTGCTAATGAAATAAAAATGATAAAGAAATGAGAATTAAAGTGCTAGAATAGTTAAAGTATACTTTATCTTTTAGGGAAGCTGATAGTTTTTCAACTCATGCTTGCATTTGGTTCTGTAACATTGAATATAGCAAGGAAAGCACATAATAGTTTGTGATTCCTTCCAGATCACAGTACTCTGGCAACAGTGTGTGAATTATCTCTTTTGATCATTATTGCAATGTTAAATAGATAGCATTATCATCTCCATTTAAAGATAAACAGGCTTGGGAAAGTTACCTAATTTCCTTTGCTTAAGTCATGTAGCTAGTATGGAATAGATTAAGTATTTGAATGTATTTATCTGATTGTGTGCTTTGTGCTGTAGCCCAACCTGACATGTCCATTTATCAGCAGAGACTCAGGAATGATTTAATCTCTTTAATAGTTTGTTGTCTTTTTCTGTTTCTGGGAATTGAGCTCATGACCTATGACCTGGTACTTTCCTGGCAGGCATTGTGCCACTGAGCTGTATACCTGCTGCTCTAATAGTTTTGAACAGTGACCTAATTTTGTTTTACTGGTATCAGATTTTCATAATGACTTTATTGGTGGTGGTGTTCAGTTCTATCCTAATATTAATCTTATGGCCAAAAGTAGAAACTAGTATGAGTTGATTCAAAGTACACTTTATTTGGGGCTGGGAAGATAGCTTAGTGGCATAAGTGCCTGCCTAGCAAGTGCAAGGTCCTGAGTTCAATCCCCAGTACCAAAAAGAAAAAAGTATACTTTATTCAAGGGACATTTTGCTTCCATCTATATTTTATACAGTTTGTGGGGCTGGGATTTGGTTCAACAATAAAACACTTGCCTGAAAGCCCTAGGTTCGGTTCTTGGCACCAAAAACAAAAAATAAACCTCTCCTTAAAAGAAAATTCAGGGTAATAAATGAAAAAAAAAGACACAAGGAAAAAAAAAGGTCATAGGACTGTCCTGCTACAATACTGCATATGGTTAGATTTCTAAATTTTTGTGTAAAATGTGTTTATTCCTATTTTTAAAAAAATTTATTTTCTTCATATTCTGTAGGGACTTAAAGTTTAACATATCAGTTCTTGATGGAAAATACCTGTTCCATGTTATGCCTAAGATGTTTGATATTTAGACAGAGTAAACTGAACTGCATATGTTGCAGAGTAATAATAAGCTTCTCTTCTGGATGGTTAACAACCTAAGTTGCAGATCAAAAATTGGAGAAAAGGAAGGGCTGCAAGGTCAGCCAACATTTTGGCCCTAGCCTTTCAAGGTCAGTGAAGACTCAGGACATAGGAGAACCTGTACTGTAGCATCATGTAACTCAGTTGTACCCCAAATTTTCTGATCAAGGAGATTATCGAGCCACAGGGGAATGGAATGTGATCAATTATGTATAGTGTGCCTAAGGAGAGTCACATGGAGAGAAAACATTCTCTCAGGTTTTCACAGAGAGCAAATTGGTCAAGCAATGGCTGTGACTCATCCTCATGGCCGACACTGACAAAGGATCTACAAAGTGCGGTACAGGGCTACAGGATAAATCCTGAGAGTACTTGACTGACCTTATCAGATACAAAAGTTACATTTCTTGTTGTATAGGTCTTGCTTTATCTTGGTCTTAACCATCCAGCAGAAAAGTATAAAAACGAGGTATATAAAGTAAAGCCATATTAATATGCTGGGCTGTGAAAGGCTCAGATCAACAACTTCTGTGGATAACCCACTACTATTGTGGACTGCTGGACTGTGTTGGATTGTTTTGCTGAATTCATGCACCTGTAGTATTTAGATGCCAATGGACTACCCATCTCTGACAGGAGTAAACAAAAAAAGGGGATACAAAGGAAGGACCATTTTGTATTTGTATATACAGAATAGTTAGGATATATATACAGCTACTTTTGCTTAATTCAGTGAGAAGAAAGATTTGTACTAATAGTGTTTGGACAAGATATCCTGTCTGCTTCTTGTACTATGGATAACCACTAAGAAGATAACAATGTACAATGTATTAATTATTGAAACTGTCCTGTTAATCAGCTTTGAAAGTGTCTCATTGATATTTGTTTCTAAATAAAATAAAATAAAACATTAAAAAAGACAATTCAACCAAAAAACAAACAAACAAAAAAAAAAAAAACAGGCAAACAAACAGACAAAAAAACCGCAGCATATTTTATACAGTTTGTATACATCCTGGATTTATTTTTAATAACTAGGCAGAATGTTAATGAAATAATGCAGAGAGAAAATCCTGCATTAATTACTAGACTGTTAAGCAAGGGAACTTGGGCAGTTCCCAGAGATAAAATCCTTATATATTAAAATAAACTTCAGAATTGTTTATAATTTTTGCTTAAAGTCACTATTATACACTAGTTCAATATTCTTGAGTCATTTGGGTTATTTCATAGTCAAGTAAAATAGGAGAACATTGCATTGTTGTTGCAAAAGACATTGAACTTACTCAATGAGTTTAGTTACTTCTATAATACTATTCAATGTATCCTAAAATATTAGTGTAATTTTTTTCATCTTTTTACAGGAAATGCTGAGACTCTCAAGCATGAACCAAAAAAGAATAATATTGATACACATGCTAGATTGAGAGAATTCTGGATGCGTTACTACTCTGCTCATTATATGACTTTAGTTGTTCAGTCCAAAGGTAACATCATGCATTATTGCCATTAGAAGTACAGCTAATCTGGGGCCGGGGAGATGGCTCAGTGGAATAAGCGCTTCCCTGGCAAGCACAAGGCCCTGAGTTCTATCCCCGGTTCCACAAAGAAAAAAAAAAAAAAAAAAGTACAGCTAATCCTTAAACAATGAAGTCTGAATTGCATGGGTCCACTAACATACCTTTTTTTTTTTTAGATTTATAATAGTTTAAAAAAAAACTCACAGATATAACATGTGGCCTAGAAATATCAAAAAAATTAAGAAAAATGTATATTATGAATTTTGAGATACCTGCAGATCATTGTCTTTGCTTTACTACATAAAATATATGTAAATTCATTACAAAAATTTAAATTTATCAAAACTTGCGCCTGGGTATAATGGCATAGCTACTAGGTCACTGAGGCAGAAGAATTTTAAGTTTGAGGTCAAGTAGGCAAGACCTTATCTCAAAATAAAAAACTGAAAGTTTCAGTATGTAGCTCAGAAGTAACAGCACTTGCCCAGCATGCATAGGACCCTGGATACAGTCCCCAGTATTGCAAAAGAAAAAATGTGTGCTCACACACAGGCCATATATGGTGTTATTCACAGTAGAAATGTAAACAGATGCAATGTTTTTTCGCAACGGGTTTGCCACGAGAGCACAGGTGTAGTGAAAAACCACCATTAAATCAAAACCAACATGGGAAAGGAAAAGACCCACATTAATATCGTCGTCATTGGACATGTGGACTTCAGCAAGCCCAGCACCACCAGCCATCTGATCTACAAATTGCAGTGGCACTGACAAAAGACCCATTGAAAAACTTGAGAAGGAGGCTGCTGAGATGGGGAAGGGTTCCGTCAAGTATGCCTGAGTCTTGAACAAGCTGAAAGCTGAGCATCAGCATGGTATCACCATTGACATCTTCCTGTGGAAATTTGAGACCAGCAAATACTATGTGCCCATCATTGATACCCCTGGACACAGAGACTTCATCAAACACATGATTACAGGCACATCTCAGGCAGAGTATGCTGTCCTGGTTGTTGCTGCTGGTGTTGGTAAATTCGAAGCTGGTATCTCCAAGAATGGGCAGACCCGTGAGCATGCCCTTCTGGCTTACACACTGGGTGTGAAACAACTAATTGTTGGTGTGAACAAAATGGATTCCACGGAACCAGAAGAGATATGAGGAAATTGTTCAGGAAGTCAGCACCTACATTAAGAAATCGGCTACAACTCTGACACCGTAGTTTTTGTGACAATTTCTGGTTGGAATGGTGACAACATGCTGGAGCCAAGTGCTAACATACTTTGGAAGATCACTTGTAAAGATGGCAATGCCAGTGGAACCACACTGCTTAAAGCTTTGGATTCCACTCACCCAACCGACAAGCCTTTGCAGCTGCCCCCCTAGGATGTCTACAAAATTGGTGATATTGGCATTGTCCCTGTGAAGACTGGTGTTCTCAAACCTGGCATGGTGGTCACCTTTACTCTAGTCAGTGTCACAGCTGAAGTCAAGTCTGTTGAAATGCACCATGAAGCTTTTGAGTGAAGCTCTTCCTGGGGACAATGTGGGCTTCAATGTCAAGAACATGTCTATCAAAGATGTCCGGCATGGCAGTGTTGCTGGTGACTGCAAAAATGACCCACCAATGGAAGCAGCTGGTTTCACTGCTCAGGTGATTATTCTGAACCATCTGGGCTACATCAGTGCTGGCTATGCCCCTGTATTGGATTGTCCTGTCCACCATATGAGACAGACTGTTAATTGCTGTTCTATTATGAGACAGACAGTTCATCCAACTCTGTACAAAAAGGCTGCTGGAGCTGGCAAGGTCACCAGGTCTGCCCAGAAAGTTCAGAAGGCTAAATGGATATTATCCGTAACACCTGCCACCCCAGTCTTAATCAGTGATGGAAGACCAGTCTCAGAACCGTTTCTCCCAGTTGGCCATTTAAATTTAATAGTGAAAGACTGGTTAATAATAACAATGTATCATAAAACCTTCAGAAGGAAAGGAGAATGTTTTGTGGACCTTTTTTTTGTGTGTGTGGCAGTTTTTGAGTTATTAGTTTTTAAAATCAAAAAAATACTTTTTAATGGAAACTTGATAAAAAATCAGTCACAGAATTTTGAGACCCATTAAAGCAAAGTTTAAGGAGAAAAAGAAAGATGCAGTGTTAAGGCAGAAAAATATTTCATTTTTCTAGTAAGAACTCTCATGGTTCTCATGTACTTTTCACTGCATATAACACATGTAAAATACAAAATATTTGTTAATAATTTTAAGTTCTTGGTAAAACTTCTTTTTCTTGGTAAAACAGCAGGCTATTATTTAGGGAGGGTCAAAAGTTGCTCAAACCTGAACATGGTGGTATACTCCTATAATCTCAGTACCTGAGGAGATGGAGTCAGGAGAATTGTTAAATTTGAGCCTAGCCTGGGCAGTTTAGTAATTTATGTTTTATTTTTTCTGTATTTAGGACAGGGTCTACAGGGTCTCACTACATAGATCAGACTCGTAGTGATTCTCCTGTTTTCAGCCTCCCAAGCACTGTGATTCCAGGTGCACACCACCACTCCCAGTCTCAATTGTCTCTCAGTGCGCCCTGCAGGTGGGGCCAGCATGGCAGGCTAGGGATCAAACCCCCAGCCACTGCATTCTGCCTAAGCAGGTGCTTCAGTCCGCTGAGCTATCAGGCTGGCCCACAATTTAGTAATTTAGACTGTTGTCTCAAAAATGGGGTGGGAATGCAGCTCTGAAGACCCTGGGTTAAATCCTCAGTAACACACACGTATACACACTATATATGTGTGTATGTATATGTACATAAGCAGAAAATTCCTGGTTTCCCTTTTAGAATCAGGTTTATCTAGATAGATATGATGTCACATGGCTGTAATCTTAGAATTTGGGAAGGTAAGACGGGCAGAGCATGAGTTCAATGCTAGCCTTGCTGTGTAGTAAGTTCAAGGCTGGTCTGCACTCAAAAGGAACAGGTTGTATTTTGTTTTTCTAAAGCAAGGTCTTACTTTGTGGTTTAGGCTGACCTTGAACTGACAGTATTGCTCAGGCTGTCCTCTAACAAACTTACTGTGACCCTCGTGTCTCTGCCTTTTGAGCTGGAATTCCAGGTTTGGTTACCATGCTGAGCTTTTTGTTTTTTAAATGGGGTCTTATTCTCTTACCCAGTTGGTCTTGAACTGCTCACCTTAAGCAATCCTCCTGCCTCACCATCCTGAGTAGTTGGGACTGCAGGCACATGGCACTATACTGGATTTATGAATTGGTCTTTTTAAGCCACTGTCTGATACCTCTGTGCCTGTATCATTTATAAACTTACAGGGCAAGTTGTCTGTTTATCCTTATGTAAGTGCTTGTAAAAGGGCATTTTTAATTGGTGACAATGACAGAAGTAACATAAAAGATTAATGAATATGCAACTCCTTTAATCAGCTTTGTTGGGGGGGCGGGTACAGGGTCTCACTGTGCAGTTCATACTCGTAATGATCCTCCTGTTTTCAGCCTCCCCAGCAGCTGGGATTACAGGCGTGTACCACTTTGCCCATCTGGACTCTCATCTCAGGCTTTGTGTGCCCTGGGGTTGGGGCCAGCACAGCATGTGGTACTGGGAATCGGACCTCAGTCTCTATACTTGCCTAAGCAGGTGCTTACTCTGCTGAGCTATCTCGCTGGCCCTTTTACTCCTTTAATAACTCATGTTTGTTGGGTTTTTTTCCCTTTCATTAAAAAACCAATGGAAGCCTTCTTTTGTTTACTTTGTATTTTTATCTCTGAGGTGGTTTTCAAAGTCAGTTTGCACATTTCTTTTTGAAAAGTGAACCCTTTCACCCTTATTTTATACTTTTCCTAGAATTTTTCTGTATACATTATAAAAATTAAGATCAAAGGTGATTTGGTAATTATATATAAACTTTTTTCATTTTTGATCAAAATTAATCCAGTTCAGTTTGATTTGAATATAAAGTTAGGGATATGATATGATTCTTCTGTTCTGGCTACAGATTTGCTTCTGTATTCCTTTTATACCTGTTAAAATGGGAATCCCATGTTTGGCATGTAAATTAACTTACACCTTTTGATTGTATTCCAAGTTATTTTATTAACCTGCATTTTTCTTCAACTAGATAGTTTTTTTTTTTTTTTTGCATTCTCTTCCAAGTGATAACCAGTATAAGATTTTCTTAATACTGTATTTAGGCAGAAGAATTGTTAAATTTGAGTCTTTTAAAATAATTTTTGCCCATTTCAAATTCATCAAAATAATGCAAGTACGTATAAAGTTACTTGTTATGTACTTGTTATAGAAAGTACAAAATATTGTGTTTTTAAAACAAGTCATAGAGTTCAGTAAACCATATACTATCTAGCATAATATAAGATAGCAGAAAAAAAAAGATAATAGAGTTTTTGATTGGGAAAATCAAGATAACATATTTGTTGTGTGGGCTTCGCTCCCTGGGCACACTAAGCCCGAGATGAGAGTCCAGATGGGCACAGTGGTGCACGCCTGTAATCCCAGCTGCTAGGGAGGCTAAAAACAGGAGGATCATTATGAGTCTGAACTGCACAGTGAGACCCTGTACCCCCAAAAAAGGCTGATTAAAGGAGTAGAGTTGGATGTTCATTAATCTTTTATGTTACTTCTGTCATTGTCACTATAACCAATTAAAAATGCCCTTTTACAAACTCAACATTTGAAGTTTCTGCATTTTTTGTGCTATTTAGAAGTTCACCATGTGTATGAATAGTACAGATTAAATTAAAAACCTGATAATTTGCACTTTTATGGGACTAGAGATTGAATTTAGAAACTTACATTCTATGAATGTAGTTTTCCATTGAACTATGCCAGTGAGTGAAACACATGTACTTTATGGAATGAACAAATAATCCAGTGATGGACCACTTGCATAGAGCCACGAGGTTTCCTTTTTCATTTAGAATCTTGTGTTTTACTAGACATTTTAGAAGAACTTCATATGAAATGTAAGTAAGAATCAGAATTTAGAACATATAGATCATACCATCATGAAAACTAAGAAAACATAAAGGTTGAAACCTCAGAGTATAGTAGTTATGTGAAAGTATAGACAAGTATTTATTTTGCTTCTTTTTTTTCCCCTCCCTCCTTCCCTTTTCTGTCTTTCCTCATCACTTTTTTTTTTTTTCTTTTTCTAAATACCAGGAATCAGTCTCAAGATCTTACGCTTACCAGGCAGGTCCTGCACCACTGAGCTAAATCTCCAGTCCATCTCACTTTTCTTTTTACTTGTTTGTCTTTTCTGACTTTATCACTGAGAAATCAGAGTTTAGCAAAATTGTGTGTCTTTTAAGGTTTTCTTATCTGCTCTTATATATTTTCCTAATCATTACAGGTTAAGGGCTGGCAAGTAATTCCCATAGTAAAATATCTCTTTCTTTTGTATCTTAAGATCTATGGAAGATCTCTGCATTTCTTCATTAAATAACAATATTACTTGTCACTTTTTCCCTTTCCCCTTCAAGAAACACTGGACACTTTGGAAAAGTGGGTGACTGAAATCTTCTCTCAGATACCAAACAAGTAAGATAATTATTTTTATAAATAATAAACGTTTAAAATTCAAAAGACTATATATTGTTTTTGTATGAGTCCCAACAAATTTGTTTTTGTTCTGTTTCCAAGCAGGTCATAAAATTAAGGTCTCAGGAGGAAAACGTAAAATAAGATAACAGAGTTCTTGATTGGGAAAATCAAGATAACACACTTGTGTCCTTTATTTCAGAATTTATGAGCTATGTTTTAAGCAAGTAATCATTTTGAAGAATTTATGCTTGCTTTTACAGTTATTCAGTACTTTTCTGCTTCTATGTAGGGTTTTTGAAACTGATATAAAAGAAAATACTGTGGTGAAGAACATAATATTTTTGTCTCTTTCCTCACAACAAATTGTGTTCTGGAAGTTTTATTTTGTTTAAGTTGTTCAGAATGTGTAATATTTTTCCCCAAAAAAGAAATCATGTTTAGCTGGGCATGATGGTGTGTTCCTGAGACCCTAGCACTCTGGAAGGCTATGGCAGGAGGATTGAAAGTTCAGCGCATCCTTAGCAACTCAGCTATTTAGCAAAATCCTGTCAGGAAGGAAAAAAGTGTGGGTAGGAAGCTGAGGATGTAGCTCAGTACAAAACAAAATGAAACTTGTAGATGACTTTACATACTACCTAAAACCCCATTTATTTGATACACAGTCTTTTAAAATATTTTTTTGCCACTTCAGAATCATCAAAATGATGCAAGTATGTATAAAGATGCTTGTTACAGAAAGTACAAAAATTTAAATTTGAAGCACTAAGTTCTTTATTAATCCCCTGCCAGTTTCCATTTTAGTAAATTGAAGTCAAATTTTTTTTTTCTTGCAGCACCTAAGTGGCCTTTTCTGTTTCATCATTATAATGTACTGTTATTTTAATTTTATGAAAGAAAATTTAGCTTAAAATGTTAGAATAGTTTAAGATAACAGATTGGTTGTTATTATCTTGTCCTTATATAGGTTCCCATTGATACTTAGCAATACTTTTTATGTATGGAGGGATAATAAAAGCTATGCCAAATTTGTGGGGGTTTTAACTTTCTTTTTTTTACATTTTTCTATATGAATTATAGAAATGTCAGATGGCAGCATCTTTACTAATAAAGTCAGAGGTATATGTAACATATTCATTAAGTTCTATCAGTACCCGCTGAGCAAATTCTCCTAAATATTATTCACTAGTAATCATGGTTTCTTAGTGAGACATAATCAAAGGTCTTTGCAGAGATCCTAATTTGCATTGACTATGCTTTTATAAGACATTAAAGTTATGATCTCTTTCTAGCAGTTTGGGAGGCTGAGGCAAAAGAATGAAAGTTTGAGCCCAGCTTGGGCCACTGAGCTACTTAGTGACATAGTAAGAGTCTCAAAATAAATTTTAAAAGGATGCCCTGGAGATAGTTCAGTGGCATAAGTGCCTACCTGGCAAGTGAAAGGTCCTGATGAAAAAGGGCTGCGAATGTAATTAAGTGTGATTGTGCTAGGTTCAATCATAGTATTTCTTTCACACTCACAAGTTTTATGATCTTTTTATTTTCTTTTGACTTTTTGAGACAAGGTCTCACTATGCAGTTCAGGCTGACCTTGAAGTTACTTTGTAGCCCATGCTGGCCCTGTATTGGCAGCAATCCTCCTGTCACAGCCTCCTGAGTGCTGGAATTATAGGCATAGGCCACCATTCCCCCCCCCCACTAGTTTTTATTAACGAGATTAGAAACTCCTGGGAAGAGGACCCAAGTTTTAAAAATATTTCAGTGTCCAATATAGTGCTTTATACCTAATAATCATCCCATGTATGTTCGTTGAATTAAAGTATTGTCTGTAGTGTAATTTTTCTTGCTGAAATAGCTTTCTAGTGGAGGAGAACTGAAATTGAATGAGGCTGATAAGCAGTAAATACTTGAGTGGAAGGTCCCTTCAGTTCATTACTTTCTGTTGTGAGTTGCAAAGGCATTTTAATTGTTGAGACTGAGATTTAAGAATAGGATACGTAGTTCAGGATTTTGTGGCTTTGTTGCCATCTATTATTTGCTCATGCTGAGAATGCTTTTCAGCCAGCAGTATGTAGAATGACTAAATTATCTGTTAGACATCCCTAATGATACTGCTTATAAAAGGCTTTTGCCAATTAAATTTTAATGTATTTGTTTTATTTTCAGTGGGTTACCCAAACCAAACTTTGGCCATTTAACGGATCCATTTGACACACCAGCATTTAACAAACTTTATAGAGGTTTGTGAACCTAAGGTTTAAAACTGTTTGAAATAATTTTAGCACATTCTCTAAAACTTGACTGTCAATTTTCTTTGAAAATGAGAACACAACAGAAAATACAATTGTGTTGGAAAGAAAATAGGCAGTGGAGAACCATCTTGTGACACATAGCAGGCCACTGACTAGCTGCAGGTTGATTGATTCTGGTGCCAGGGTGTTACTTGAATGTTTTCATGCTTCCTCCCTGATGTACTCTCATTCTTTTGATTTTTTTTTCTTACTTGTTTTCTATTTGATTTTTTTCTGTACTTTGCTCTTATTTTTAAGATAGAGAAAAATACTTTGGAAATTGTTTTTTCTTCATTATAGAACAATATTTGTTAGATGAAGAAAATCACAAAGACATTAAGGGAATTACCCTTAAATCTTACTTTAAAAAGAAATCATTTTTGGCAAATTTCTATCAGATTTTTTATAGCTATATTTTCTTGACATGAAAGAATCATTATGTACTGCAAATATGTACTAATGAAAATAAAAATAAGATTGTAAAATATGTATACTTTAAAATTTTTAATATTATGCCTTTAATAACTTCATAATGAGCCTACCATATGATTATAATTTACTTTAGAAGTTACCTAAATGAATATTACAGAAATATTCTTAATTTACTATTTGTTTCTTTTTTCTTTTTTTTTTTACCACAACAGATCGACTTTTCTTTTAATTGCCTTAGGTATTCTGTCCTTCTTTACACCATGCCAGCCTTGCTGTCCCCTTCATTGTTGATCAGTGACTGCCTGTACCCTTTCTGCACCTGATTCTATTCTCTTGAGCCATCTCTTCCAGAGACAACTTATTTTCCATTATTTTCCTTCTGGCTTTAGATTCCTTATCACAGAATCATACAATAATAGTATTAGGAAAAATCTTTAGACAGTTTAATCCAGTGTATTTGAGAAGAGAGATTCCGAAAGATTTAAATGCAAATGATTTTTCTGTAGGTTGTATTAACACATGCAGCAAGGTAGAGGTATGGTTGGAATTTTTCCTATAGATCTCTTAACTCCTAGTCCTGTATCCTGTCCTAAAAGAAAGGGTCCATCTTTAGCAGCATTTAATATTCTCATTGCTCTTTTATCCATGCTTTTTCTACCTGTGAAACAGAATTTTAAAATTTGCATTATTCAGAATTGGAAAATTGGCAATCTGAAATAATAAGTTTATATAATCTTTTGTTTATTAGAAGGTAAAATATGTTGAATTATTTGAAAAGTTATTATAGTAAAAGTTATAGAGAAGCACTTATATCTGTTCTTCTGGAAAATATTTTTTAGTTGTTCCAATCAGAAAAATTCATGCTCTGACCATCACATGGGCACTTCCCCCTCAACAGCAACATTACAGGTAAGAATTCAAGGGAAAATTTACTTTATTAGAAACTGAATGTGAATCATAGTTTTGAAGGATACAACTTAGTTTACAAAGGTTCTGAATTTATAAACACAGGTGTTATAATCTGGAGCTTAACTGTGCTAGATTTTCCAAGTCTGTTTCTTTGGGGATAAAAACTAATGTTTTCTTATAATGAATTGGCTACCTTTTGTGAATATCTGAAATTGTTTTGTGTAAATGTTAACTTTAGTATTTTATAGTATAGAAGTGCAATTTATTTGGTAGTAGCTACCACTTACTTTTTTCATTAATTAATTAATTAATTAATTTTGTGGTACCGGCAATTTAACTTGGGACTTGTGCTTGCCAGGCAGGCACTTATGCTTCTGAGCTATATCCCTGGCCCTAAATTTATTTTATTTATTTGTTTATTTGATACAGGGTCTCACTATGCAGCTTGGACTTTTAGTGATTTTCCTGTCTCAGCCTCCCCAGTGTTGGGATTATAGGCATCCACTACCACACCTGGTTTCGGGGCAGCATGGTGCACCCAGGTTTCCAAGGCCAGCACGGCATGCAATATCAAGGATCGAACTCAGGTCCTTGTACTTGCCAGGCAGGCACTTAGACCACTGATATATCTCCCCAGCCTGCTACCACATTTTTTGATGTTTTAAAAGTAAAGGTAAAGCTGAACACTGTGGCATATGCCTGTAATCTCAGCACTCTAAGAATCTGAGGCGAGAAGATGGCAAATTCAAGCCTAGCCTGGGCAATTTAGTTATTTAATGCGACCCTACCTCAAAATAAAAATAAAGGGCTAGAGATGTAGTTTAGTGTCAAGGTCCTGAGTTAAGTCTCCAATACTGATAGACAAGCAGATAGCTAGCTAGGGAGTAAAGAAAAGAAAAAGAAGAAGTAATTTTCTAAAAACTGGTAAATATTGCTTTTATTAATTTTCTTTTTTGTGTGGACTGATTTGTTTCTTTTGGTAAATTTGATTCATTGTAAATTCCTCTTAAATCAGCCTTTTTTTCTGTATTTAGGACAAGGTCTGCAGGGTCTCACAACATAGATCAGACTAGTAGTAATTCTCCTGTTTTCAGCCTCCCAAGAGCTAGGATTTCAGGCGTGTGCTACCATGCTCAGTCGCAATCACCATTTCTGTGTGCCTTGTGGGCGGGGCCCGCATAGCACTCCAGGTTTCAGCCACTGCACTCTGCCTAATAAATCAACTTTTTGTGGGGAGCTATTTTTTCTTTTTTTTTTTTTTTTTAAAGCAAAGTATCTTTCTGGAGTTATCAAATAAAGTACAGTTTATTTTGTTCATATACAAATATATTTAGCTGGGCTCATTTATTAACTACTTTATTCCTCTCTGCCAGTCTTAGTATACACATAATTCAATTTACATTTCAAACAATGTAGTGTGGGCTTTGAGGATTGCTAAGCAGTTGAAACTAACATTGTGTCTTAATTTTCAAGAATTTACTAAATTTTGCTGGTCGCAGTGGTACCTGCTTATAGTCTCAGCTACTGGAGAAGCCGAGGCAGGAGAATAGCTTGAGGCCAAAGATTACAAGCCTGTTTTAGCATCATAAGAAGACTGCCCTACCCCATCTCTAAATAACTTAATTGATTAGGAAAAAAGTTTACTAAATTAAGTTTTCTATCCTTATTAGGTTATTTTAACTCAGTTTTTTTCTGTATAGTATGTTTCAGTAGGAATTTATTTTTAAAATTATAAAGGAAGGTAGTGAGAAAATAATTTGAAAAACATATGCAACTACCCCATCTATTAGCTTATTAAATGATAAAAATACCTGCTGGGATGATGGTGCTGGGATAATCCCAACACTTTGGGAGCCAGAGGCTGAAGAGTGAATGGCAAGTTCAAACACACTCTGGGCAACTTAGCCATTTAGCAAAAGACCATGGCTCAAAATTTAAAAAATAAAATACAAGGCTGGGGATGTAACTCAGTGCAAAAGATCCTGGATTTAGTTCCTAGTACTTCAAAAACTGAAAATCAAAAAAAAGAACCAAAACACAAAACTGTCTTTGGGCTTGCATGGTATTTTTGGCTTGTTTTTGGTTTTTGAGACAGGATCTTGCTGTGTAGCTCAGGCTGTCATTGAATTTGTGATTCTTTGCCTCACCCTCCTGAGTCCTGGGATTTTACCACCACTCCCAGCTCATGAAAACTATAGTTTGGGAGTGAAGAGAAAAAGAAAATTACACTGACATCATGTCTTTTGCTCATTGTCCTTGCTTATGTATTGAAGGAAACACTTAAACTAAAACTTCCATCTTTCAGTTGTTACAGCAGCACATTTCGCGTTACATGCATCCTGAGAAAGTAGTGAAACTTTATGAAAGCTTTCGTCCATACACAAAGTGATTCATATCTGTGCTGGGTTCTAAAATAATAATCTATATCATTGTTATTTTGAATAAAATGGAATTTAATGGTTTTATCAAGAAAGGAAATAAGTTTGGTGTCCAAGAGAAATAGCAACCTTGAATTTTAGAACATTACACTTACTTCCTCTATTTTTTCTTTTATTTTCCTTGTAAATTAATTAGAATTTCACATTTTGTGGATTTATGAGAGAATAAGTTTATATACTCAATATTTGGTTTTACCAGTAAGATTTTCTAGTGTATTTACATTTTTTTTCTGACCTTTAAATTTTTTAAAGGGTGAAACCACTTCATTATATTTCCTGGCTGGTTGGACATGAAGGCAAAGGCAGCATTCTTTCTTATCTTAGAAAAAAGCAAGTATTCATTATTAAGTATTTTTGGTATAGCAGTCTGAAAAATACTGGACAATATGGTACATAATGTATTCTTTGGCTTTAGCTACCAGGGGTCTAGAATCAAATTTAATGCCTAATTATAGTCATATTGATAACATAGGTTATCTTAAGGGCTGTTTTGTATTTCATCATAAGCTAAAGCCCCAATTGGAAGTAAACGTGTACAAACATTTAAAAATTATAAGTAATACTAATTATAATTATTTGGTGTCCTTTTCCCTTAAGTATTTTAAATTCCAGAATTATGTAAAAAGGTTGGCGCTCATCAGCAATCTGGATTTAACATTAAAGAATTCACTTATTTAAATGCTATAGATTTCCTGACTTTCTCAAGTAAAAGGTAGAACTTTAATGAAAACTTCAATCTGTAAACCAGTTGAACTGAAAATGTAACTCTGAACAGTGTATACAGCTACATTAGCAGTGTGTGTCCTGATGCCTTCAGGCACCGGTGTGAGTCACTATAGCCAAATGATTAGAATAGAACTTTAAGATCAGGAGCAGGACATTATATTAATTTCTTGTTTTATTTTTTCTGCATTAATTAATTAGCAGATGAAAAGATAGCTGAGAAATTTAAAGTACCTTGGTAGTTTACAGTAATTAAAGGAAACAGATAGTTATTTAAAAGAAAAGCTGGGGCTAGTGAGATGGCTCGGTGGTCTAGAGCACCTACTTCGAACAAGCTAAGCTAAACAGAGCACAGGGACCGCGGTTCAATACCCCGGCACCACATGCCAGCCAGTCCTGCCCCCTGGTGGGCTGAGCTGGCCACACACACACACACACACACACACACAAATAAATAAATGTGAAAAAAAAATAAATAAAAAATAAATAAAAGAAAAGCTAATGGTGTTCAGTGTATACCATTAGCTATACACTCATTATTTAATTAGAAAAAAAACATTAGCTATACATTAGTTATTTAAAAGAAAAGCTAATGGTGTTCAGTGTATACATATATAATATGCTTTAGGACGCGCATAGCCTTTCACTCTACTGAACTATATTCCACATTGTTATTTTACATTGTTCGTTTTGGTGTCCTTTTCCCTTAAGTATTTTAAAGACATCTACTGTCATTTCTTTCTTGGATAATATACATAGGTTAACTGATAGTCTTAAAAAGATCATTTGATCTTTCTAAATTAGGATATATTAGATGTATTTTAAGGCTTCCAGCAGACAAGATCAAAAGTGATAAGTGAGAGGGGCTTGTGTGTTAGCTCAATTGTCGAAAGCTCCTGCTTGGGGAAACTCAGTCAGACGCAGGAGACTGCAGTTCAATCCCCAGCTCCACATACAGTACCAGACCCGCACTTAAGGCAGCCTGAGCCAGCCAATTAAAAAAAAAAAAGTGAAACACTTTCCAGGAACCTGGTTCTGTTTTGCAGTGTGCTTTTGTGTGTGTGTGTGTGTGTGTGTGTGTGTGTGTGTGTAGGGGATTTTTGTAACTTTTTTATTTTTAATTTATTTATT